CCTAGTTACCTTATATTTTGGCGACGTGTATCAGCACACGCAACCGATTTCTACAAATTTGTTTGAGAAATATTTCGTGAAGAGATGCAAAAAATTTTAACTACGATTTTGACAACGCGATCTCGTTACTTTAATTCTAGTACTTAGTACTTTCGTATATAGGACCGAGAAGATTCCGAGAACATCGGTGTAAATTCGGAGGAAAAAGGGTATTCTGCATTTTATATAAGATGCGTTGAATAGAAACGCTTCCGGGATTTTAACATCGACCGGCTTATAGCGGGCTTACGGCGCTATAAAGAGCACGGTCGTTTCCTTTCCTTTTATCACAATAGTGGCAATAAATCCCGCGTTGTTTTTTTAAGCCAATCGGTGAGCGTTCTTTCTTTCGTTGCGAACCGGAACAGAGTTGACGATATACTATATAACACGTCCCCGAGAACGATATCGCAGCGTCTTACTCGTCTACGCGCGTTTGTTGTTACACTTCTTCTCGTTCTCGCAGATTAGAGAGCCGTTATCGCCGTTATTTCCTGTTTGTTTATCTCTTAACTGACGCCCAAGCTAGACTCGTCGTCCCATTTGGTTTTCATGGATCGTAAACTCTCGTTGCCGCAGTTATAATATGCGACACCAGCTGCGCGTTAATCGCTGTAGCTATTAGAAAATAAAACGCGCACTATTAGAATACGTAACTCGTTATTTTGCGTTAGTTCTTCGCAAATGCGTAAAAGCGATAAATACGTCGAACGCTCGTTTGTGTGATAAAAGTTTTAAATAAAATTAAAGAAAATATAAACTCTCTTGAAATTACATTAGGGAAAAAGAAAAACCTGTTAGGAAATGAATATGTTCCCGATGGAATATTGTTTCTGAAATTTCGCCCAAGTAATTTTACTTCTATTTCAACTAAAATCTCAAGTGTTAATGACGACGACGGGCAGCGAACATCTTTATTATATTAGAAAATTACTTGGGATGGCGCGCGGGAAATTCGTCTGTGTAGCATAAAGGAAGAGTCTCGATCGGCTGGGACAGAAACAGGACGTTGGAATATTGGAGGGTGCGAAGGCAGTAGGCAATTATCGAGCGCTGTCATTGTAATTGCATCGACGGCCGGGAATCGAGATTAGATTCGGCGTTCGGGAACCGCCAGCTTCCTCTCTCCTTCGTCTCGTTCTTCCTTCCTCTCTTCTATCCTTTCTCTCTCTCTCTCTCTCTCTCTTTTCTACGGTCTAGATTACGCCAATTGCTAGGTCGCCGGCGAATATTAATTATCATTCGACTGTAGAGCCGTGCAGCGCTTTCCGTTACGCCGCGCGAGTTATCGCGTCCACATGCCGCTCGATAAGCCTCGGCCGATTTCGCGCTCGGATTTCTATGCAAATGGTGCACACGCGAAACGCTCGCGTGAGTGCTATGGTAAATTTCGACCACTTCGAACTCAGATTTTTATGCGAACATAACATCCGATTTTACGTTTTTCACAAAATGTAAATATTTTTGCACATCTTTACGCAACGTTTCGATTTGCCGCGTGAGTTATTGATTATTCGCAAAGGTTTTAATGCCTTCGTTGTTTTTTGTTTTTTATTTCGTTGCGTGTGTTGAATTATTGCCGTTACGAGAAGTGCATTTTTATCACTTCAGCTATACAGTTACTCGTCGATTTGTCTAAATGTCATTTTGCTTGGACGATCGATAACGTAAATTTTGGTATGTGTGTGCGCGTGTGTGTAGTTGCGTGCATAATATCACGAAAATTGAGCGCACCGGTTGCTGCGCCCGCATATGTTGCGCAAGGAAGAAGAACACGCGATGTTTAGCTCGCGAATGCAATTTTGTCCCGTCAATCTGATTTTCGATTGCTGCAAAATTAACGAGCGATTTGCCTCACCTGCTACAATGTATCTCTCATTTGCGTAAAGAAGAAAATAAAAACTGCGCGCGCGAACACAATAAAACCGAAGTTTGTTTGCGCGCGGTGCGCGCACCAGGCGCGTTTATCATTGACAATTTATCGTTTTGCCACGGCAATTTGATCTCGTAAAATATTTCCACTAACAATAGTTTTCCTGTACTGCGATTTAAGCATTTTTTAATTGAATTTTCCATTTTGTTTTGTTGTGTTTTTTTGGTTTTGAAATATGTACGAAAAGTACGGATTGTCTTGCATTATTACACACTACGGATCTATTATTGTGTTATTTAAAGTTTTTAAGTTTTTAGATTTTTTGTAATTTTTACTTGTATTTATTATTACACGTATTATATTGATTCTACATTTTTGCACGTATTTATATATTTTTACCGACTATTTGTACGAAACAACAATTGATTGCACATTGTGTTTGATTTCTTATATTGCATCTCTTTCTCGTTAAATTTGATGCATTTCCATCAAAACGTGAAATTAAAGAGATTAAATAGCGAACAATAATAATTACACATTTTACTACACATCTGACAGAAGTATTTTATCGCATACTTTGTTACTAATTCGATTCGAATTATGAGTTGAGCCAACAAAGAATGAAAATAAAAATCTATGATTTTGCGAAAAAGTAATAAAACTATACAATTGTGTCGATATATAATATCGATCGTGTACATGTAATATCGGAAAAGCTTCAATTTTCCGGAAACGAATCGGAGGAACCGTGTGATGCAAAATCAACTGGTACGCGAGGAGGAACGTTTTAGATTTCCCTTCCTGTGCGCTTCTCTTCCATTGCCAATCACACAAAGTAAAATAATGCCCGTATATCAGCAGGAATCAATAGTCTCTCGACGAATTGCAAACGCATTTTATTTGACGTGTACAGAATTTTATTTGATAGAAATGCTCGTTGAAAATGCGAAAGACTCCGGTTTGCTAAAAAAAATATACGCACACCGACCAATAAATACTTTTGATAGATTAATTAAAATAGCGGTAACCAATGAAACTTTGAAAAAATAATTGTGTAATTGCGAAGCAAATCGTTCTTTTTTTTTTTGGTTCTAATTTCAAGTGGATATGTTTTTTATTTTTTGACTTAATCCAAGCGACTATATATTTAATTTTTCGCGAGCACAAACATTTATTTTTTGAGTTTCAATTGTATTTGTTTTTTGATACTTTTTTCACACTTGATGACCTAACATACTTTCAAATGTGTAAAAGTTTTTATCATCAAGTATGAAACTTGACAAACAGAACATAAACTCGTTGCAGTTTTTGACAAAGAAAAATTTATTTTTAATCCAAGCGCCCATATTATCGATACACTTTTGCTATTTCAACGGTCTGTCTATGCTGCTGAAATAGAAGCCTATTCTCAAAAGGCACTTTCGAAAGTCTGTTGGGAATTGAAGAATTTTCCCACCAAGAAGTTGTCCAAATTCCTGAAGAAGCGGTAGTCAACAGATGCAAGATCTGGTGGGTGGCGGAGAATTTCCAACTTTGCCGGTCATTTGTGTAGCGTGCGGTCAAGCGCTGTCTTGCAAAGGGACTGGTCAATCGATCGATTGACCAATCTCGGCTGTTTAACGGCAAGTTGCTGTATTATATCGTCCAGTTGCTTGCAATAAACCTCAGTTGTTATCGATGTCGAGGCTTCATAAAGATATGGTAGATGACACCTGAGCTGAACCACCAAACAGTCGCCATGAACTTCTTTTGTCAAATATTTGGTTTCGCGTGACGTCTCGGTGATTGAATATTTCCAACCATTCGTGTGAACGCTTACATAGAGGATTTGCTTTTCATTACATTCAATTAAAAAATCATACGTTTTTGTGACAAGAAAGCAAGGAAAGGCAAGTCTCCAAACGTTGTTTCTTCTGTGCAGTCAATTCGTGCGAAACTCATTTAATTTCTTTACTTTATCGATTTGAGCCAAATGAGCCAATAAACACTGAATATCAAACACTGATGCCATATCACGCGTACTTTGAGATAGATCGGATTCTACTACGGCTCTCACGTAGGTGATCATTATCCACCTTCGACTTTTCCACGTGGTGAGGTTGACATTTCTATCCTTGAATTTTTTGAACTAATTGCTCACCGTGACTTTGGTAGTAGATCTTTCACCAAACACAGCATTGACATTACGGACTGTCTCTGACACTGTGGCTCCACACAGTGAAATTCATATTCATAAATCACACGAACTTCCAACTTTTCTATAGTTTAACTATTCTATAGTGTAAAAAATAATATTCTATAGTGTAAAAAAAGGAGTCGTTCACTAAATCTAATAAAGATATTTTAACAAACACATATGACTTATGAAGAACAAAGATGCACCTTTCAAACCACCTTTCCTGATATAACGCCAAACGAGAGATGAAATGTTTAAAGTTTTGAAGTTTGTCAAGATTTATATTTAATAACCCATATCTTGAAAATACGCGAAAGAAAACTTCTTGCACAGTCGTTAATTAATATAATCTGCCGGTAATATCACCGTGTGTAATTAACGAATATAATGCTCAAACGATGAATTTATCTCCTTTTTATAGCGGCTAGTCTTTTTACGGACGTCGTCTCGATACAAATTGTCCGATATCGACCACGCGCTTCGCTACGTTATTTCTTTCACGGAGGATCGGTCGTTCTGAAAGGCGACCAGATGAATTCGCGCGCGGATGCAGCGAACGAAATCAGCTTTTCCTTTCGTTTTTTTTTTGTTTTTTGGTTTTTTTTGCATTAGAGTGCTCGCGTATTCGCGCTAATAAGCAATGCCGGCTTTAATCGCATTGAGTGTCACCGTTGATTTATTCATAAGTCTGGAATAATTTTCCTGGAAAAAACCAAGATTTCCTCGCTGTAAATTTATACTCGAATTTTCGCGTTACATAATATTGTATAGTATTATTAGCGTCACGAAGATCTATATTTGGAAATAGTTATTTATTAACATTTTAATTATAAAACATCTATATTGATATGTTGCGCATATTGTATATATATATTTTATATTTTATATTTTTCTCTAACGAAAATCTCTTAGGCGCTCCCGAAGGCAAACTATGGGGAAATATACCGGGTGGATCGCCACCGGAGCGACCGCCAGCGCCAACTACGACGACAACGACAACAACAACCTACAGACCCTGGAGAACGAGGCCCACCAGGCCCAATCATTATCCGGACGACGGCAGACAGCCAAATCGTTATCCACTGAAACCCGACTATCGACCTCACAAACCTCATCGACATCACACAACGTGGTCAACGACGACGACGACGACGACGACGACAATGAGACCCACACCGAGGATCAGGCATCGGTGGACTCCGTCACAGAGGGACATCATTCCCGACAAATGCGACACCAGCTACGATGCCATCAGCATCATCCGTAGGGAAGTCTTTGTCTTCAAAGGACGGGTAAGCGGAAATCGATTATATTTCGAGGAAAGAAACTCCAATAGTACATAAAATTTTTATTAATATAAAAGTTGTGCGGTTTTTAAAGAAATTTTCTTTCTGGCTTGCAGTTTTTCTGGCGAATAGGCGATCAAGGTATCTACGAAGGATATCCGGTGGAAGTCAATAGGCTGTTCCCCGATCTGCCGTCGGGCATCGACCATATCGATGCTGTGTACGAACGACCAGATAAGAAGATTGTGTTCTTCATTGGTCGTCAATATTATGTTTTCAATGCCAATAAATTAGAGGCGGGTTACCCGAAGCCACTGACAACTCTGGGATTGCCGGCCTCTCTGGAGAAGATCGACGGCGCCATGGTGTGGGGTCACAACGGCAGAACTTACTTCTTCAGCGGTTCCATGTACTGGAGGTAAGACCGTAATTCCTTCAATTTTCCCGCGCCAAATTTGTTTAATTATATCTTTGGCTAAAATTGAATTTGTATTTCAACTGTTTAATTCTTTTTTCTTTTGCAGGTTCGACGAATCTGTTAATTATGTGGAACTCGATTATCCCAGAGACATGAGCATGTTTGCTGGCGTCGGGAATGACATCGACGCCGTTTTCCAATGGAAAAATGGTATGGCACTTCGTAACATCAAAAATATTTGTTTAAAGAATATTTTTTTATATTTTTCAAAATATTTTTTATAGTGTATATAAAAATTCTTAATAAATTATTCTCTTTGTATTAAATACTGTATTTAACTTTTTTGGTTTGCAGGTAAAACGTACTTCTTTAAAGGAAAGGGTTTCTGGGAGTTTGACGATCTCAGGATGAGGGTAGCGCACGAGAAACAGAAGCTCTCGGCACCAGTTTGGATGGGTTGTCCGCCGCCAGAAGTTGAAACTAATGATATCGAAACTAACCTGCCTAGGAAGTCGAGAATCATCTCGGCTTCTGCCGCTGCGGCTGCGGGAAAACTTGTACCGATACTTGCGTTGGTTGCCGCAAGTCTTATCGCAAGAATAATGTGCGTAAAGAAACAGAATATTATTTATTTTGCATTTAGATTTTTCGAAATATAGAGAAAACATCTTGTAAAACATATAAGATTTTACGTGTGATTTTTTTTATATAATTAAAATTTTTCTTATTAATTATTTTACAGTATTTTATAAGATTTTAAATTATGTATTTAAAGGTAGCTAAGCTACGCTATCACAGTTTTTTTTATCTTTTCAGATTACCACTGTAACGTGTGTGGCTTTTCAAGCTGACATTGCGCGACGGAGAACATTTTGTACGTACCTTACGAGGTGATTTCGCACGCGAAACGCGAATGTTGAAAAAATCAATTGGATTGTTGAGAAGGGAATATTCAACAAGTCGATGAACACTGGAGAAAGAGAACGAAAAGCTGTTTGCGTCTCTATCGAAGCATGACAAGGACAGCACGCATTCATATTCGAATTGACTTCCATGTCGATTCTTCCGATGGAAAAATTGCAATTACAGTTTGAGGAGAATAATATCGATCTAAGTTACGCATTTCCTATTTTTCTCTTTCTCTGCTCTACTTTTACCTCTCAAACTACAAAAATGTATTAAAATAAAAGTTAAACAAAAATATATACACATATAAAACGTCATCTTTTCTTGCGAGAAAATGTGTTACTTAGATCCGTATTATCGACGCAGCATTTCTCAAAAAATATTTTTGTACACTGTCGTTTTACATGACTGCATTTATGTATAAAATAATTAACTTAAAATGTAATTTATATTGTATAATGAACGAATCTTCGAAAGTTCGAAGGAGGAAGAGAGATCCTTTTTCAGGAATTTTGCAGACAATCTCTCAAATTATAAAATTATCACTGCCAAAAGCTCCATCCAGTAGTTTATTATATATATTTTTACAACAATTTTGAAATTGATATACAGAGATTTTTAATCCTTTCAAAGAACCAACATACAACTCACCATCGACGCGAGAAGAACTTCGTAATTGTCTTTCTGTAAATCAAACGATTATCATTCGGAATCAAGTCGACAATCTTCAATAAGCGGTAAGATAAAATCGATTCCGATTTTTATATAGAGAGTACGTAATTTTATATAAATATGTTAATTATATATTAATATATATATCCTCCTTCACACACATAATTTAGAAGAAAAGGACACCAGCAAAACGCAAGTGTCGCCAGTTTTATAAACTGTGATATTTATATACCGCGCGCGATCAGAAAAGAAGTAGCTAGTAATGTCAAAGAAATAGCGCAAATGAATTTAAAATGCCGAATGTGATGTATTTAGTTTTGAAGTCCTTGCATAAATTTTGCAAACGTTCAAAATTAATTCGCGAAATCTCCGAGTTTTCTCGATCGCAAACGTTTTTTAAGTTGCGCGTGATTAAAGCTCCTCGGAAAATATCTTGCGATCTTATGACAGCACAAACGAGGAAACATCGACGAAGTTCCGTGGTTTTTGTTTAAAAATAAACAAACATTTCTGTACAAACGCACGTAGAATCAATACATTTTGTATACACATTGTAAAATATATCGGACAGTTTTCTTTTTGTTTAACACAAAGCTGTATCAGCAACATTGACTCGAAAGCTTTTGCAGCGTGTTACACGCTAGTATGATTTTTTTTATCGAGTCAAAAGAAAACCGTCCGGTATATTTTACGGAGTAAACTCTATTGATTCCGCGTGCGTTTATACAAATTCTGTTATTCTTTTATTTTCACAAAACGTACGCAAAACTTTGACGATTTTTTTGTAAAAGTCAAGATAATCGCGAGCTATCGAGAAACTTTAATCGAGAGACACTTATTTATTTTCACTATACATATATATAGACAAAAAATATATTTTACATACAATAAAACAATTGATTTATTATAGCTAAATGTCTACAAAGAAATGACCAACATTCTCTTTGATTAATTTTGAAATACGCTTGCAAAATGCATTTAAGTGGTTTTGACAAAATACATGTTATTATATATACATAGTATGATTATGTCGTGCGTGTCGCAGAATGCATTATGTGTCCGTGAAGCGCGCAGCAAAGTTAAACACGAATAATATACATAATATTATATTTCTGTTATTAACGAGACAACTCGACGGTTTTGTTTTTTCTATTTTCCGGTTTTTCCGGCTGCGTATATCTGTTACAGAGTAAAGAAAACCGCATCAGGATATGTACGTCTCGCTCGTTCGTCCGGTCGAAAGGACAGGGCGAGAATTTCTCTTTTGTTTGTATCGAACTTAAGGGGAAATTAGCGTGTAATATGCTGCTGATTATATGCTATACAACATATTTTATCGCAACATCGTGCTTTATATATATATGTATATATGGAAAAATAAAGAATGATTTTACCCACCCCACGTTATTCTTCTTCTCCTGAATTTTCTGTCAAATCAATTTTAAGATGTGTAAGTGTAATTATGTTAAATTAAATAAAACAGCTTATAAAGTTAGAGAATTATATTTTATTTTATTACAATAAAAGATAATTATATTTTATTTTGATTTATTTATATTGTATTATTTCTTTTTTTTCTTACTCTTCTATCGTAGTTGTTCTATTTTTTATCAACTATAAATTATTAATCTTTTGTAATTATATTTTATATATATAAAATGTACTACTTTATAAATTTCAAAATTTGTGTATATAAGATAGAGAGAGAGAGAGAGAAAGAGAAAGAGAGAATGTGTGTGAGAAAGAAGTGAAAGCGTAGTTAGTGAAAATAATTGTCTTTTTCTAACTAACGGAAGAAAGCAGAATTATTCTCCCAGTCCTTTTTTGTACTATAGATATTACGTGTACATAGATTTCATAATTCCAGTTTCTTTCGTTAAAGAGACAAAAAATTCGAAACTTCGTATATTTACATTTGTCTATATATTTCTGTTGTTTATTTTATATATTTATTAACAAAAGCATGTATACATTTTTTTTGTGGTGGTGGGTCAACTTGAAGATATGTTCAACAGAATTTTTCTTTTTACATCATGTTTAAACATCACATTCTCTCGGTAACTGGACAGGTAAAATTACGATTATCTCATTTGTTCCTCTTGGTGCAATTGATTTATCCCAGGTTGAGCAAAGGATACGACGATCATGATGCTTTAAAATATGGACTTGAAACTCGCCGTTCGTATAGATAGCACCTATAGATCTCTAATTAACAATGTGTAGTTTATATAATAATACAATCTACATGTATTTATCTCCTCGTGGTGGAAAAAGATAAAATCCTCAATTAATATGATCCGAAGAAAACTCATATAGATAAACATTTTTTTAGGTAACAAATACAGAAAGTCTTTATCACATAATTCATATACGACCCAATACATCCGAAGGATCTTAGGCTCTTATCGATCCTGTGAAACAAGCGCGAATTGTGGCGTATATTTTTAATATTATTAAGCGTACGTTCGAATCACACCAATGCGCGTCTTTGCAGATCTCAGTAAGTCATTCTCATCGTGATGGAGCCTCATCGATAATCGCGATATCGTCGACGAGACTCGCACGAGGAGTATGACCTCGGTCGCTGCTAGGGACACGGATCCGGCGGGTCCCAGGGGCTCAGAGCTCGTAAAGTGGATCGCACGATCGTGTCAACCTCGGCCATCGCGCCCATTCCGGTATCTCCGCACATCAGCGTCTTCGATATACAATGCACTTCTTTGTAGCCCCAGGATTTGAGCAGTGATACCTGCAGAAATCATTTTTATTACGAGTAGCAAAATAAGTCTGGATTGTAAACGACAAGCGATTTTCTTACTTGTGGCATGGTGATCGGATGTTCCCACATCCTAGTGTTCATAGCAGGACAGAACAAAAGCGGCTTTGTAGGATCCCAAGCGCGTGCCACACACGTGAGGATATTGTCGCATATGCCGCTGGCGATTTTGCCCAGAGTATTGGCATCCAGCGGCGCTATCACAAATATGTCCGCCCACTTTACCAAATCTATGTGCAACACGGGATCACCTCGATCTTGCCAGGCAGCCCATTCAACTGTATCCGACAGGACTTGAACGTCGGGTGACAGCTGAGCGTCCTTCAAAAAGTGCTTAGCCCGCTCTGTTACCACTACTCTCACCTCTAGATCATTCTGTCGCAGTGTCTCCACGAGCTTAGGCAGCTTGATCGTGGCCACACTGCCGGTACAACCGACCAATACTCTTCTCCTCAAGCTACTCGCCATTTTCTTCACTCTTATTATCTTTTGCTACAGTAATATGCCAGTCTGTGCGTGCGACTTGATAAAAGGTTTGGTCAACAACGTGATAATTGTCAGAATTCTATCTATGTAATATCTTTATTAGGCCACTTGGATTGTGTGCCACACAATCATGCGTAACAAGCTATCAGGGGATGCCTTTAACATTAAAGCTTAAGCGGCTCGACTTATCAATGTCAAGCGATAGTTCAATTCTCTTGTAACTTATATAATTATAATTTTCTTTAGTTTCTTAAATTGTCGCTCAGAGAGAAGCTCAGAGTCCTTATCACACCTGATTGGCAGTGTGGTTTCGAACACCAACTTCGATATATCGCACTCCTTGAGTGTTCTTTTAATTTTTATATATATACATCGAACAACAGTTCCGAGAACACTGATTTTGTCGAGGATTACGCAGCAGGTACCGAGAAGCGATAACGAGAAGCGATTGATTTCGGAAACAACTACCGATGACGACGGGAACGAAGATGTCTGTCCCTTCTCTCTCTCTCTCTCTCTCTCTCTCTTAAAGACGATCTCAGCGTTATGTCTCTTTGATCGTATCGGCGTAACCGAGATTGGACCATTCCTCGCGCGACATCAGATTGTTATCCATCCGACAGGCGAAATACTCCTTGGCGACGTCGCGGCACATCGTATTCTGATTGCGATTCTCGACTAGGCAGCGCATGTACTTGATCATACTGCTCTTGCAACGGGCTTCATGATCGAGCGGAAAACTGCCGCGCTCCGGCGGCGTCGGCGTGAACAGCTTCTGCGAGAACGTGTACGAGGACATACTACGCCGTAATCACTTCCCTGACGCGCGAGTCATACAAGCAGCGGATGGAAACACCCGCGGAACGGGAGAACCGACGACGCCTTCTCACTCCTCCGACGGCAACGCGAGAACCGCCATCTTGCTGACTTCGCGCGTGCGTGTCATTCTGCTCTGATCGCGAATGTCGGTTTCACGCGTATGATGCGCGCATCGGAGCTACTACAGTACACGTCACGCGTGCTGTAGGTAGGTTAGGTAATACTCGCACGGTACAATCCACATGCGGCATCCACGGATTGGCTTTCAGCCTGTTCTACAATAAGTCGTATGTCGCTGTCGGATGACGCTAGTCGTTTGTCGACAGTCGGTGATCGGTAGTTATTGCGACAATCGTTCTACAACATTGTCGCAGTCGGATAGGAAAAGAACTTTTTTTCCACTCATCAACTATGAAGAGTCTTTAGAAT